GGACCAACCCTGGGGGTTGGCATAACAATAAAAGAGAAAAAACTTGGGAGTCTAAATGATCTTATGGGGCAAAGCCTCTTCCAACCCTGGATCATTGGCCCACATTTGGTCAGGTATACAATAAAGAGACAGATAAACTTCTGTCTTGTATGACTCCCTGTAATTTGGAGTCTCCTTGTTACAGTAATTGTAGCCTGTAACATAATTAATATATCTGACTACATGAATAATTTCAAAATACTATAACTGTAAAAAGAAATAAAATATATTGATAATAAAATAAAAATTCATTTCTATATGTGTATGCTTGAGAACAACTACATTTGAAGACATAATCAGTAAGATAAATGCCAGTCATCCTTATCACGAATAAATAAGTTTGGATAAAGTCAATCTGTACTGGTCTATAGAAAAATGTACCAACAGAAGTAGTGGTGGACATAATAACAGAAACTACTTTTTTTTTTTTTTTACTTATAACTTTATTGTAGACATACTTCATTCATTCCTTTTTTAAAAATATTTTATTTATTTAGAGAGAGAACGAGACAAAGCATGAGTGGGGGGGGAAGGGTATAGGGAGAGGGAAAAGCAGACTCCCTGCTGAGCAGGGAGCCCGATGCAGTGCTCCATCCCAGGACCTTGGGATCATGACCTGAGCTGAAGGCAGGCACTTAACCAACTGAGCCACCCAGGTGCCCCATACTTCATTCATTCTTTTATTATTCTTATTAATTTACATATCTGACTTCTAGACTGTAAGAAAGTATCTGCATTTCCTTTTTTTATTTATTTAAGTTTTAGATAGTTAACATACAGTGCAATAGTGGTTTTAGGAGAATTCAGTGATTCATCATTTACATACAACACCCAGTGCTCATCATAACAAGTGCCCTCCTAATACCCTTCACCCATCTAGCCCATCCTGCACTCACCTCCTCCATCAACCCTTGGTTTGTTTTCTATCATTAAGAGTCTTCTATTGCTTGATTCCCTCTCTCCTTTTTTTCTTTTCCCCTTCCCATATGTTTATCTGTTTTCTTTCTTAAATTCCACATATGAGTGAGATCATATGGTATTTGTCTTTCTCTGACTGACTTATTTCACTTAGCATAATATACTCTAGCTCCATCCATGTCATTGCAAATGGCAAGATTTCATCATTTTTGATGACTAAATAGTATTCCATTACACACACACACACACACACACACACACACACGCTAAAATACTGAAATATTCTGAAATATGGCTTTCTGTCTAACATGTTATACTTCAGTATTATTTGAATATAAACATATTCCAATATATATGTGTATATACATATACAATGAATATAACATATATTCATGCCACACCTTCATTCATTCATCAGTTGATGGACATTTGGACTCCTCTATAGTTTGGCTATTGTTGATAATGCTGCCATAAACATCAGGGTGCATGTATTCCTTTGAATCTGTATTTTTGTATCATTTGGATAAATACCTAGCAGTGCAATTGCTGGATGGTAGGGTAGTTCTATTTTAAACATTTTGAGGAATCTCCATACTGTTATCTAGAGTGGTTCTACCAGTTTGCATTCCCAACAACACAAGAAACAACAGGTGTTGGCAAGGACATGAAACTACTTTTAAGTTAAGTAGTAACAGATCAGACATTTTACATAATGAAAGAAAAGAAACTAATCTTAATTGAAAGAGAGATAATATTCCAAAATAAATTATAGAATGCCCAAGCATAGAAAATGAGAAGTATTATATTCTCCCAAATGAGTCTGGCAAAATAATTCCCTATAGGGGAAATAATTCTCTGTGTGCTATGACATGAGATGACCTAGTCACAGAAATCCCACAACACATCAGGGCCACATTCAGTCTCTAGTACTTGAAAATAATTTGACCATAACTTTTAATACGTGAGGAAAGATGTCTTTTTTTTTTAAGATTTTATTTATTTATTTAGAGAGAGACAGGAAAAAGAGAGTGCAAGTGGGAAGAGGGCTAGAGGGAGAGAGAGAGAATCTCAAGCAGATGCCATGTTGAGTGCGGAGGCTGACACGGGGCTCAACCTCACCACCCTGAGATCATGACTTGAGCTGAAATCAAGAGTGGGGCACTCAATCAACTGAGCCACCCAGGTGCCCCAAGGAAGACTATCTGGATAATCTTGATAATAAATTACAAAAAGAAGCAATTTATTACATAAGATATAATAAAGAATTTTAAGGTAGACTTTGGGGACAGTATCAAAGTAAGATTGGAAAACAACAGACTATCTAAAAATAATTTCAATCTGTAATATTTGTAACAGATTTCTTAGCATTATTCTAAAGTGTTACAAATATATAAAGGGTAGTAATACTATGAAATATTTCTAAAGGTTTATTTTTTGAAATTCAAAGAGATCAATACATTTATCTGTCAATTTACTAATATTTGATTTTAAGACTGTTAAAAGGCATCACAAATTTCTTGTTTCAGATTTGTAAATGTTTTCCATGTTATCTCAGTAACTGCACTTCTACTCTTTACAGCTAAATATGTAGTTAAATATGTTCCAATATGTTGAGTAGAAAATAAGTAAATTATTCAATAATTTCTAGAACAGTGTGTTTATTACATTTCAGTTTCCTGCTCTATAATAAGTCTTCTAAATTCCTTGGCTTTTTGTCTAACATGTTATACTTCAGTATTATTTTGTATTGAATCACTGCACAATTAACGGTTGACCCTTGAACACCACAGGTTTGAACTTTTACACACAGATTTTCTACGGTACAGTATTGTATATGTATATTCTCTTCCTTATGATTTTAACATTTCCTTTTCTCTAGCTTACTTTATTATAAGAATACCATATATAATACATATAACATACAAAATATGTGTTAATTGTTTATGTTTTTATTATGGCTTTCAGTTGACAATAGGTTATTAGTAGTTAAGTTTTAGGGGAGTCAAATGTTATACATGGGTTTTTGACTGCAGCAGTCAGTGCTCCAACCCTGTGTTGTTCAAGGGTCAACTGTATATTTGTAGTTTGTTGAGTCTAGCAGCACATTCAAAAGTCATGCCAAATGCATGACTTTTTGTGATACAGTTTTGTTCCATGCATTGCAAGACAGTTAGTTTCCTTACCTTTGCCCAACAAAAAGCCCTGTATTCCTCCAAACCACTGTAGCCCAAGACACTTCTACAAATTCCTAACACACTCCAAGACACATAGGGAAGTGTCTCTCAAATTATCTGTGTTAAAGGATCAGTTTTTTCCCCCAGTATGCCCAAGATCTATAATTCTATACAATTAAAAATGTTACTAGGAAAAAAGTGGAATAGAAAATAAATACAAAATATAAGTTCCATTTTATCATTACACTCAACAGACAAAAATGACTCTGTTGAATTACTATACAAGTTTCTAAATGGTTCCTGTCAGTTTTTGCTCTTAGCTCATTGCAGACCAATAATAAATAGTTCACAGACTAGCTCTGGTCCACGGATCACACTTTAAATAGCACTGTCCTAGAGACAATAGTACCATAGTCATTGAGAATCACTGGTAAAAATAAAGCAATATATAGAAATGTTAGTTATTATCTTTATCTTTTTTGATTCTAAATATCCTTTAGCAGAGAATAAAATAAACAATTCCACCCACATTAACAATCGTGCACTAGCTCACACGTTCCTGTCTAAATGGTCAGACATACACACAAGTACTATTTCCTTTCCTTTTAAGAGACAACCTTGTCTTCTATGATATGGAATTCCTCTCTGCAAGGGTGCAACAACATTATTTAGCCAGTGAAAAGTACAGAGTACTTTTATAAGTCAAAAAGCAAAAAGGTAAAACAAAATCAGATTTTAAAAGGACTCAGGATAAAAATAAATAAATAATACAAAAATAAAAGGATTCATGATATATACATACTCAGAATACAAAAATGATGCTTACCTTGTTGCCTGTCCATCTGTAGGTTTGTGACCGACATTTTTTCTGTTCTGCCAGGTCACACTCAACCTTCCCTGGGCCCACCCTGCACCAACCCCACCATTCAACACAGGAAATACTAGAGGGATAGGCTCTCCTTTCAATCACAATCCTTTTTCTTATGACATCAATATATTATTTGTCTAAAAGAATTTGATTTAAGCATTGGGTCTTTCTCTTTTTAAGTACTGTCCTGTTAAGAATACTGTCATTTGAGGAGAATGTCAAAGTTCATCCTATCCCAATCATAGTTCTGTTTTTTTTTTTTTAATTTATTATTTGAGAGCAAGAATGAGAGAGAGAGAGTACATGAGAGGGGAGAGGGTCAGAGGGAGAAGTAGGCTCCTCGCCAAGCAGGGAGCCTGATGTGGGACTCGATCCCAGGACTCCGGGATCATGGCCTGAGCCGAAGGCAGTCACTTAACCAACTGAGCCACCCAGGCGCTCCAATCATAGTTTTGACAATAAGTAGTTAAACATCTCCCTGCATACAATACACAGAATGATGTGTTAAATTTTTAAAATTCTTTTAAAATGCTATTGACTTTACAAATTTTATTTAAAAAATCTAGGTTTAGGTTGATATAAATGGCTGATCTTATTCTCAACTTCAAGGTAAAGTCCATATTAAGCTGTGGTTTTTAATTGTTTAAATTTTCCATGAGATTGCACACATTCCAATAACATGGTACACAAAAAATATTTTAGTATATGAGAGTTTGTACGTGAAATACAATGTAAATAAAAGCAATTGCTAACTTGTTAACTTTAAATTTTTCTACTGTTCTAATTTCTAATAATTCTATAACACTGATATAAGTAGTCATAAATATTACATTTCTAGTGTCAACCTAAGAAAGGAAACATATACTCAACCAACATTTAGAAGAAAAAACTCATTATATGTCATTTTGCTTTTAAATATTAATTCAATTTTCTTTTAAAAATAGCTTTAATCAAATGGAATTTGAAGTCTGCATATTTTATATAATGAAACATGATCTTACCCTTTTCTTGGCTACCACAGCAACTTTGCCATCTGCCTTGGATTTATCTGTAAGATAATAAAGTATGGTTGTTTCAAAAAAATGCCTACACTCCTGTTTAAATAAGTGCAATGTTACACAATTAAAATTTTCTACTTTTCTCATACTGTAGTATGTGTTTTTAATGGTTCTTTTGATCAAAATGCTAACAAACTCAACTTCCCAGAGTAGAACAAAATAATCCAAAAGTAATAGCATTAGGGATTCATATACTTATTTGACAAACCTCCTCCCTTAAATCTAATTAGTTAGATGTTCTCGAGTTAGAATCTAGTGTATCTTATTCTAGGTTCCGGTCAGCTTATGTACTCTCAAGTATATGGGATCTGCACTTGATCTTAGCCAAAAGGCGGAGAAGCGATCAAGTATGTGGGATCTGGAATGAAATCCCAGTGATCTCTACTTGAACATCCACTCCATGCCAGACAGGGGATAAAGACTTTACATAGACAGTATCTTATTTAAACTTCATGATAATCTTGCAAAGTATGTAGTCCATCACCATTTCACAGCCAAGAAAGTTGAGGCTAAGTACCATGCCTGAGGCCATGCAGTGGGACCAGACCCAATTGACGGCAAGTCTCTAATCTTTATGCCTGCTGCCTCCATGTGGGATCCCTATGTAACACTCAACAAAAAAGGACTACAACCAAAGAGAATACAGAAAATTATTTTAAGATTTTATTTTGATATATGCAAACCTGTGTGTGAATTAGTAAAAATTATTGGCAATAACAATTAATAATTGGATTTTTATGGGTTCAATGTTGAATCCCAACTACATGAATTGTACATAAATATTTACTCATACATTTGTTTTATTAACCTTAATATTATGGTAATGAAAAACGAATAGAGCTATGGACATTAGTATTAAGGTTTTAGGATTACATTTAACGTTAAGAACACATAGAAATTAAATTTATCAATATAGGACTATAATTCACAATGAACATGTAAAACTAACAAAAAGAATAAATATCCATGAATATAAGAGTAAATAAATGCTTGCTATCTAAAAGCAAACTTTGCAGTAAGAAACAAATTATTGGCATAAAACACAGAAATCCAGAGAAGCAGATTATTATATTTATACCTATAATTAGCTTGCCACATGTAAACTGCCCTCTTTCCTATGTTTAGCTGTGTGCTTGGAATAATCCCTTCTTCTGGAATACCCTTTTTCTCCCCACTGATGAATTTACAAGACCATTCACCATCACAGATGATTCCTCCACCTAGGAGAAATAACCATCTCTGTTGCAAAACCACAGCATCCCAGGACACAGAACTTTCTTCCTTGTATTATGGTTACTTCTATATATGTCTAAGCACTCTGCAAAACTAGAATGTGCCTTAAAGACAGGGACCATGTTTTATATAAAGTAGATGCTCAGTATTTTTTTATAATTAAAAATGTACATGTATTTTATTCAAAATCTTATATGGATCTGAAATATACATTTTACTTGAACAAACTAATATAATTTATTGATTAAAATACATATAATGTTTACATGATATAAGTTACTATACTAGACAGTGTAAGGTATAAAACACTGTATATGTTCTCAGGCCTTTAGTTTCTTTATTGATAAACCAGGAGTAATTAATTATTATCTTATTGGTATATTATGAGATTCAAATAATAGAATTTACATAAAGTTCCTAAAACAATGTCTGGTAGCTAATAGATTATCAACAATGTTCTCTTTCATTTTAGCTAATAAAGACATTCTAGGGGTGCATGTATGTGTATGTGTTTGCGTGTGAGAGAGAGAGACAGAGAGAGCTAATCTATGGAATACTAGCAAAAATAGTTTAGTGATGACATATTTTACTACTGTATCATCTTGTTAAGTGATTCTATCATTCTCCCATTTAAATAATTTGTTTTAGTCTTTTTAACATAGTTGGAAATAAATTGATAAGTAATGATAAAAGAGCAAAGATTATTGAAATTCCATAATTATTTCAAATTTATAAAAGGGCCCTGATGATAATTACAAGATAGAATAAATTCTGTTGTAGCTAAAATTTTTTTCTTTTCTCTTTTGAAAATCACTAATAATGATAAAAGCCATGATGAAATATCAACCTGTACCCCTGCACAAAAAGGAAACTCAAAAACTAAAACTAGATCCAATGGACCCTGATCATATACTGAGAGTTAATAAAAAAAGAATACAAATTCTCCTCAACATATACATCATTCTTATGTAAAATTTCCAGTAAGGAGACAACTGTGAACAGAAAGAGCCAAACTGCTGTTCAAGGAACATTTTATGTTGAAAAGTTGCACAACCTGGTACAACATAGAAGTGTTTTGGGGAGTATCAACAACCACTCTGATTTTCAAAGGGATTTGCCAAAGGGAGAAAGTCTGATGTAATGCTGAGAAACATTACAATCATTAGCAATTTTTCTATTAATAACAGTAAGTCCATGTTCAACTTCAGCAACATTAAACACTTTCTAAGAGCTGAATTTTCCCTAGTGCGAGAAGTTTAATTTCCTCCCTTCAGAAATCTCTGCATGTAGGGACCCTCACACAGAGTGAAAAGCAGTTAACAGGAAATGTAGATCTGGATAATTAAAAGGGTCTTTACTCCACTTCTGAGCTATAGCCACATCATAGTTTTAAAGTGCAAAAGAGGGGCTCCTGGGTGGCTCAGTCGTTAAGCGTCTGATCTTCGGCTCAGGTCATGATCCTAGGGTCCTGGGATCGAGCCCCGCATTGGGCTCCCTGCTCTGCAGGAAGCCTGCTTCTCCCTCTCCCACTCCCTCTGCTTGTGTTCCCTCTCTCACTGTGTCTCTCTCTGTCAAATAAATAAATAAAATCTTAAAAAAAAAAATAAAGTGCAAAAGAGGAGTGGCAGGTAGAAAATGACAATGTTCCAAGCCAATAGAGGTGGTTATGCCTCATGACTCATAACAGATGTTAAAAATTTTTTATTTATAAGGATATTAGAGAGGAGTACAAATATTAACATAAATCAATGGCTTCTTTTTTTAAAAAAATATATTTTTTAAGATTTTATTTATTTATTTGACAGAAAGAGACACAGCGAGAGAGGGAACACAAGCAGGGGGAGTGGGAGAGGGAGAAGTAGGCCTCCCACTGAGCCGGGAGCCTGACGCGGGGCTCGATCCCAGGACCCTGGGATCATGACCCGAGCCAAAGGCAGATGCCCAACGACTGAGCCACCCAGGTGCCCCTAAAAAAATATATTTTTAAAGCCCATCCATTCATGGCCTCAGAAAATCTGTCAGTCTACGCTTCTTTAAAAATGACAGCTGAAAGAAAGCATTTTCTTAAAAAGGTAGAGGATAGGTCCAGTTTCCTATCTGGCATGTAAAGAGCTTAGAAGTCACATTCCATCCTCACAACAAGTAAAAAGCTGAACAAATAGAAAATTAATAACTCTTCTTAGATCCCTTAGAGAAGTGAGGTCACAGGGCAAACCACTGCCCCCAAATTTGGAGAGACAGGTGAATACAAAGAATCACAACTTAATGGAGCAGAAACCTCCACAGGAACTAGCGCTGGGGTAGGAACACCTGAACTGTAATTGATGAACTGCTGGAGCCTCAATGTGAACAAGCTGAGAGAGAGAAATTCTAGGGGGGACCCAGTCATGCAGGAGGGAAGCACACTTTTGTGAGTTTACCTACAGGAGCTCTATCAGGTTCTCATGGTGAAGACTGGAGAAAAATACCTTTGTGCTTCCTCAGTGGGGAAAAAAAAAGTAACCATTTTGAAATATGCCAGGGCATTCAGTTCTTAGCAGTTTGCCCTCAAGATAAACTATTTTACCAGAGCCTCACCTATTGTGGTTTTTCAGAACCTAACCAATTAGTGGGAAGGGAACAAATCTAGCCTGCTGGAGTCTTCCATGTGGGGGGAAGGGAAATATCCAATTCTAGCTCCCCTTTAGCCATCATGTACCATGTGAGGGGGTGAAAAGAATGAGAAGCACTTGTGCGGCTCAAAGCCCAGGACTGAGACCTATGCATAGAGCTATAGACTGCCCTCTCCAGCCCCACATGCCTTACCACTACACTACTAAAGGCTTATTTACCACAGTTTCTTTTACCTGGTACATCATGTTTGCCTTTCCACAAAAGATTACAAGGCATACTAAAAGGCAAAAACAATTTGAAGTGACAGAGTAAGTATCAGAAACAGACCTATATATGTCAGAGATGTTGGAATGATCAGACTGTGAATTTATTTATTTATTTTTTCTTGGTGTTTTGCATTTTCTTTCTTTTTTTTTAAATTTTATTATGTTATGTTAGTCACCATACAATACATCATTAGTTTTTGATGTGGTGATCCACAATCCATTGTTTTCGTATAAACAGTGCTCCATGTGCTCCATGCAGTACATGCCCTCCTTAATACCCATCACCGGGCTAAGCAATCCCCCCACCCCCCTCCCCTCTAAAACCCTGTTTGTTTCTCGGAGTCCATAGTCTCTCATGGTTCATCTCTCCCTCCAATTCCCCCCCTTCATTTTTCCCTTCCTTCTCCTAATGTCCTCCATGCTATTCCGTATGTTCCACAAATAAGTGAAACCATATGATAATTGACTTTCTCTGCTTGACTTATTTCACTTAGCATCATCTCCTCCAGTCCCATCCATGTTGATGTAACAGTTGGGTATTCATCCTTTCTGATGGCTGAGTAATAGTCCATCGTATATATGGACCACATCTTCTTTATCCATTCATCTGTTGAAGGGCATCTCGGCTCTTTCCACAGTTTGGCTATTGCGACCATTGCTGCTATGAACATTGGGGTTCATATGGCCCTTCTTTTCACTACATCTGTGTCTTTGTGGGTACAGCCACTTTGGAAAACACTGTGGAGGTTCCTCAAAAATTTAAAAATAGAACTACCCTATGACCCAGACTGTGAATTTAAAACAACTATGTTGAATATACTAAGGCTCTAGTTTTAAAAGTAGGCAACATTCAGGAACAAATGGGTACTGGAAGCAGA